CTGCTATGGGCTGAACCATTTGTTAATGGTGGAGGAGGGTAACACTATGCAATATTTTCAGTTTTGGCATTTATATTCACTGTTGACTGTAACTACGCTCAAACTGTTAATGCTATCTTATTTTAATAAACAACACTGTCATTTGCAAAACTGGGGTGGCACTTGGGGTGGCAAGGGATCATTTTAGGGTGGCACCTGCCACCCCATGCCACCCTTCTAGATCCGCCCCTGCTGTAGATACCCAAACAGTTTTGAATATCCAATTTAAATCACATCAGAAATGAGAATGTCCTGTCCCCCTGAACATTAAATTATCGCACAATAAACTTATTATGAAAAGCCTGATCTCAGATTATTTACTAGTTAAAGAACAGAAACTCGCTTTCTAATGATCAACCCCCAGCATTTCTAATTCTCACTGTAAACTTATCAAAACAAACCGCCTTACCGGAAGTGGCGTTGCTTGGGTCAAGGGTTGCCATGTCTCCCGAAAAAGTCACGGTTTCATACAGTTACAGTAAAATGCTTTACTCAAGAAAGATAATCAAATCATTTTTTTATTCAGCTAATATACAGATTAAAGCACGTGTCCCAAAGTAATTCACATCTCGATGTTTAACTGATTTATAAGCAATGAATCAGTCCAGTGTTTCAATAGAAAATAAATATACAATAATTTTGTTTCTTGGCATATAACTGATTTAATCAGTATATTCTATTATTATTATCTAATTTTGACATTTAAACTCCGTGCAGCTCAAAAAAACACGATAAGTAATGCTAATATCAAAAATAAAATTCCGACTGTCCTAAAATCAAAGTAACTAGATGAATCTGATATTTATTTATTGTTTACACTTTAAAGGACACTTCTTTGTACACACGTAAATAAAATAAATAGTAATCCCAGTTTACTGACGTATCAAGTGGAAAAATCCCACCCTCAGCTTCAGCTGACTGTGCTTGAAACGTGTTTATCTGCTGGTCATGCGCCCATCAGAGAGCCTTTAAAGAGGCGGGTACCAATGATTTTTACGTTTTTCCTTAGACCTGGCAACCCGCGGTGGGATTACAACTCTTTCCATCTGTTGAGGAAGTGTGTCAGACGTCGGAAATTATTCTGAAACCACGAAGTGAAAACTTTGTAAAGTGAAGAAAGTGGGTTTTGTTCGGGAGCAGAGTGCGCAGCAGCCTCGGCTCGTGCCACGGAGCCTGTTTTTGTGGCTGTTAGAGTCACGGCTCTGACGCTAAGCGCTACCTTCAGGCTAATGCCCGCGACACCCGGAGGGTCAGCCGTGTACTGTCAGGCTGTGCGGGAGAAAGTCCGGATCAGGCCCGAGCCGTGCCCAGCTGTTTCTGGTCATGTCCGAGCTGCCGCTGCTCTGACCGGATGGCGGGAATACTAACGTGTGTGGAGGACGTGAAGCGGCGGCTGAAAGTGCACGTCCTGCGGGAAGCCGGCCGTCAGTATCCGCTCACCTGCTTCGTCCTGGTGTCTATGCTCGCGCTAACGGTGCTGCTCAACAGGTGAGCTCACATGACCCCGTTTACCTGGAAGATTCACCGACGTGCAAAGTGTCAGGCGGTCCGTGTGCAGCACTGTGACCTGCACCTGGTCAGTCAGTAGAGCAAGGAGCAGGCGCAGGGCAGAACCTGCCTGAGAATATTTAGTTTTTAAGCCTTGTTCTCTGTCAGAGCACCTCCCCGACATATATCTGTACAACAGAAGTCACAGAACAAACAAAGAAGTGGCAAAGGCAAATTCGGCATACTTTATTTGTTTTACATGTCAACACTTGATATTTCCTCAAACACCACAGGTGGCAGTTTATTAGGCAGGTCTTTCCTGTGTATCTGGCCTTTTTTGGTTATGGGTTTCCTCCAAAGAAAAATCACATTTAATTTGCTTAAGTTTTGCTTAAAAATGACCAAAAAGTAAAATGGGAAGTGCACAGGCATCGGCAAAGAAAGCCAGGTAACATTCACTCTTTGCCTAAACTAAATGCAGTCCAGTTATGCTTAGGTGTGCAGCGTCCCCCTCAAAGGTCCACTGTAAACTAGGAAAACCCCTGTTGGGTACAAATCTTCTTTAGAGGTCGTCACAGTGGACCATCTGCCTCCATTTCACCCTATCCCAGCATCCTCCTCTGTCAACCTGTCAGCCTGTACTCCTTCATTATCATCCATGAATCTCCTCTGAGGTCTTGCTCTTTTCCTCCTGCCTGGCAGCTCTGAGCTGTCCCTCTGATCGACTCATTTCTATTCTTTCCATTTCCATCCTGGTCACTCCCATAGAAAATGTTAACCTCTTCAACTCTCCCACTTTCAGCTTGAACTCCTGTCTTTTTATTCTTGGACTCTACTGAAATAGTTTTGCATGAGTCTGTCTTATACTGGGCCTTAATGCAGCCCCTCAGTATAAGGTGTATCTAAAACAAGCTGTTTAAGCTCCACCTTTAAGCCAGCTTTGTTCTGAATGGCTGTCCCCTCATAAACAGAAGGTTTGAACAGCAGATGGGTGGAGCTATTCTGCCTCAGATGTTTGTTCTAAATTACATCGATATTTACAAGGAAATGGGAAGCATGAGTTTGCTCTGTCACTCATAAATTATGCAAAATAAAAGCTAGAACCAGTTTCTACCTTTGTTCCTTTGCCATGTTTTTGTTTTTCAGATTTTTAAGCTGAAACTATCGAAAACCTCACTTTTTCTTTACTTGCCTGAAATAGAATATATGACCCTGTGTCTGTGGAACTCACGTCCATTGCTGCAGTTCACAGGGAGTGAACACTAGGTGATGCCCTAGTTCATCTCCTCATTCACATGGAGAGTGTGTGTAATGCTCTCCCTGCAGGTATATTCACATCCTGATGGTGTTCTGGTCGCTCCTGGCTGGTTTCGCCACTTTCTACTGCTCCCTCAGACCAGAGACTCTCCTTCCCAGCGTCCTGTTCACCGTGAAGCCCAGGAGCAGAGTGAGGCACACACCTTTACATGAGAGGCTCTGACTGAATGATGATTTCTGCACACAGACAGGTTCTCTGTGATGAAGTGTACATCTTTACTGACTGATGTTTCTCTTCCTTTGCACAGCAACGGGAGCAGGAACTGTTTCCTCTGGGCCACAGCTGTGCCGTGTGCGGGAAGGTCAAATGCAAGCGCCACCGGTACGTTCACCTGACCTCTGACCCCACGTGTTCAGACTAGAAAACATTTAACAGATTATGTTAGTCTAAAAGATTAGCAGTACTGTCGGCTGATTGGTTAACAGCAGAAAAGATTTGGTCTTAATCAAGGAAACGCACTTCACGATCAGATAATCAAACTTTATTTGTGGATTTTTTTTGAGAGCTTCACAGAGATGGCTGAGCTCTGAGATGTTTCAAAGTAAATCAAACTGCAGAGAAGAGATAATAGTTCTCAACTATTGTTATTGTTATTTTAAAAAAATCTGGCAACATCTTTAGATGCATTCGCAACATGAAAACCTCCACTTGTAAATTCCTGTGTGGGGCTTGACACTGACTGGTTAAACTGAGAAGATAACCACCATTTTTTAAACCTCAGAATAAGCCAGATGATAACTGTACCTCAATTCCTCTGCAATTTATTTATGTACCAATTTAAATAATACATTTGATTAGATATTAACATACAGTTTGTGCCGCCTGTCTGGGCTCTACATGGATATTTTCACCTTTCTGCACTCCTTCCTGGCTGAAGAATTGTAAGTTATTACTACTGTTATAGAGTGCTGGCCGTGACTGCACTCAGAGCAGTGAAAGCACAGCCACTGACACCTTGTCACGCACGCTGGTCTCTTATCAGTTTACTGCTGTCAGATTTTTCCACAATGCATGTGCAAACCGCCAGAAACAAGCTTCTGGCCTCTCCGCTTGCCCAGCTCCAGTGATTGTTGATGGGAGATGGACACGCCCTTTAAACAAAGTCTATGCAATTTTTAAGAAGCTTTCAACAACAATTGCTGACTGCCGCCACAAGATGGCAGTGATGTAAAGCCTGGATGCATTTGTTAATCAACAGGTGAGGTTATGACAGTGCTATCTGAGATGAAAGGAGAGAGAACGCTTTACTTTGGTACATTTTAACTTATGCCTATTTTTAGATCTGACAAGGCAGCCACTGCATGCCTTGCTTGTCCTGACAGATTCAGTAAAAGGACTAGATGTTACAATCCCTGATAGTGCATTGCTTCAAATGGCGAAAGTACGGTGGCCCTGAGAGGCCAAACGGAATGCAACTTAAGAAAACACCAGCAATAAGAAAAATGCTGCAAAAGCACACAAAACACAACAGAAATAGAAAAAACAAAACAGAAATAGGAAAAAATACAAGTGTTTCTGGGGAGACAATAACCCGATGGACCAGTTGCAGGAACCCAAAATATGGTAGGTGTGTTTTATCATGATTCATATAATAATGATGATGGATTTTTAGGCTAATAGTTAGGCTAACACACTTACCTCTCATCTTTTCTCTCCTCACAATCGATAGATCCTCCACTTCTTTTAAGTGTCTCCCAGCACAATTCTTAGCATATTTTGGTTCCCGCAACTGGTCCGTCAGGTTATTGTCTCCCCAGAAACACATCCCTTGTGCTTTTGGAAATCTGTTTTTTCCTATTTATGTTTTCTTTTTTCCTATTTCCGTAAGAAAGTCTTGAGGGATGGCTGTTATGAGGAAATCCCAGAAAGTTAACTAGCGGGACACATCGTTGTGTGCCTCAACTTCACAGGGTGTTTCGCTCTTTTATCCCAAGCTGATCTACCATTTTTTCCTTCCTTGGTTAGGTTTAGGGATTAAGAGATCTGATTGAGATGATCATATTAAAATTTGGGACACATCGTCAGTAGTGGACCTTGGATTCATCAAGTGTTTTGGCCATTATCACTAGACACCCTCATCTAAGAAGGCCCTGCCAGGGTTGATCAGGCCCCGGAGTGTGTCACTGGTTTATGTTAAATTGTTATTTCTCTTCTACTTTCTGTTTAGTTTTCTACAATTTATTTTCTTCTATCAATTCACTGCAACTGAGAAGTAATATTTCCCTCCTTAATATTTATGGAGCCTGACTTCTTCAAAGGAATAGAAAAGGTGATGGAGAGAATTTAGACAAAAGAGACAACATAGGAGAGAGCAGAGAGGAGGGCTGGAAGGAGGCGCCTGATCTGGCATCCCACACCTCCCCCACCGGATCAACTCCAAAGATCAGAACAATCCCCACAACTGAGCAAAGATTCATGCAGCTCCATCAGTCTTTTTGTAAAAATCCTGCAAACAGACGAAACAATCAATCATAATCCTGACTGACTTTCTTTCATTAACCGCAGGCCGACACTGCTCCTAGAAAACTATCAGCCATGGTTGGACCTGAAGGTTCATTCAAAGGTGGACGCCTCAGTAGCAGAGGTACCTCAGCTCAACAGCTGGAAATGTGCTTAAGTGAAACATCCAGATGTGATTATGTGGTCCTCTCTGACCTCTCTACTGCCCCCCCCCCGCAGGTGTTCGAGTTAGTCCTTGAGAACTTTGTGTACCCCTGGTACAGGTAGGAGGGCAGCTCAAAGCATGTTTTTACCCATGTACTGCTAAAGACGTTTGTTTTTTTTAAACTGTCGCCTCTGGTTTCAGAGACATCACAGATGACGAGGCGTGTTTGGATGAACTGAGGATGACTTTTCGCTTCTTCGCGTCGGTGCTTGTCCGCCGAGCTCAGAAGGTGATGTTCTGTCTCACAAAACAAACTGTTTTGGATTACAGATTTGCTCCACTGACAATGAGATCAGCAGCTGGTTTAGAGTGAAATCCAGTTTATAAATAGTATAAAATAATATTTAAAAAAACCTTCAATGTGTTTCCAAAGCCACAAGTTTTTATGACATTGTTTATGTGGTTGATTTTTAGAAATAAACAGAAGTATAATTCCTCGCTGTAATTCCTCGGGCCTTAAACTAATCAGATTAGTTTTAATTACTTATCCAATTATAGGTAATGTGTGAAGTTTATTTGATTATAGCTTAGCTGAAAGACAGGAAAAAATATATATATATATATATTGTAAAATTTTACATAATAATAATGATAATATTTAATAATATATTTAGTAACAAAGCTTGTTTGGCTCTATTTTGTTGGAAGTGTCAGTGAACTCTCCTGGAGCGACTGTCAGTTTTCTGTTTGCTGCAGTAAAATTAAATCAACTGGATTACTCAGATTTCCGTTCAGAAACATGTTCCAAATCTCAAACGGATCGGATGCAGTGCTGTTTTTAATGATTGCCACCCGCCGTGTCTGGTGCCTATTTTTGATGATTTTTGTGTTAATCGTTACTCTTTGTGTGTTTCTCACTGTTGGCAGATTGATATCCCTGCTGTGTTTGCAGACAAAGTGATGAAAGCTGCGATGAAGCACATTGAAATTATTGCAAAAGCCCACCAAAGAGGTATGCACGTGTCCGCTCGTGCTACATTTCTAATATGCGTGTTATATTCAGTCGTTTGTGGGAAACTTGCTGGCTGTGGTTGTGTGGCGTGGGGTTCACTCGGTGCAGGGTTGCACCCTAATATTTATGTCTGTTTGTAGTGAAGACTGTAGATGGCCTGCAGCAGGCAGCTCTGGACGAATACGGCGCCGACCTCCACGTCGCTCTGCACAGCCGGAGAGACGAGCTGCTGTACCTGAGGAAGCTCACGGAGATGCTGTTTCCCTATGTCATGCCTCCCAAAGCCACAGACTGCAGGTACAGAGACGACCGAATGAAGTGTTTTTCTGCATCTGAGACTTTTTGATATTTTCACACCTTCATCGTTCTGAACTACAGAGACAATTTCTGTTCTTTCTCTTAGATTTCCATTATAGCTCTCAAACTCTGAACAGGGGATTTTCAGTCCAGTTTCCAGCCATCCATCGATTTCTTCCACTTATCTGAAGTTGGTTTGCAGCTGGTTTCTTCTCAGATACCTTCAAATGTTCTAATCTGTCAATGAAGTTCCGAGTCGGTTGGATCTAAAAAAAAACCATAAACCTTCTCTCTTGCCTCTTTAGGTGTTCTTATACGACTTTAATGCATCGCGGGAGTCTCAGGCAGAGTTTCTGATAAATTTCTGAGCTTTGGTTTTTGCTTCATGTGGTGCAGGTCTCTGGCTCTGCTGCTGCGGGAGGTGATGGCTGGATCCGTCATCCTACCAACCATGGACTTCATGGCCGACCCTGTAAGTAGCCACATGATCGCGTTGGTCTGTATCTTTGGTGCATCAGAGTAGGGCTGTTCGATATAACGATATGGATGACGATATAAAAACGTCTATCGTTTCATTTTACGTTATCGTTTGTTTCGTGGTGTCGCAAAGTAAACTGTTTACAGCAATATTTTTTTCATCGTTTTGATGGTCACTGTAGTGG